ATACAGTTTTCCAAGAAGTGTGTGAGACAATGCAACAATTATGTTGTGGCTGGTAATTTTATAAATGTACCTAGAAGTTAGTTGTAAGACACACGGAGAACAACAAAATGGCTTGCTTGCAATATTTTACATATGACCAAAATATAAGATCCAGTAAGAAAGGTTAGAAAAACTAAAAGATCAATATCTAAATTTTATTATAAGAAACCAGTGGCCACACATTTTATTATCACAATAATCTGAAGTATATATACATATATATATACATTCCTTAAAATAACTGTACTCTTAGAAAGATGCATTTATATGTATGTGTGTGTATATACAGATGTATGTATGTGTATGTCTGTATCTATACATATAGATATATACACATATGCATTCTCTCTCTACACACACACACACATACAGAGGCTTACTATATATACACATATAGAGGCTTTCATCCCCATATCAAATCAGAAAATATTCAGGGTAAAGGTAAAGAGGAAAGTAACAGCCATTTTAAAATACTCATTACATGCCACATGCATTCCCTATCTCTACTTCCTTATTGATCTACTCTCTTGATAATATTTTTCACTCTGAAGGTTTTCACAACATTCTGTGATTTGTTCCCTATCTTCTTCTAGTTCCAGACTGAATCCTTCCAGAACTTCCAACTTGTATACCTGAAAAAAGACTAACAGTGTAACTTTGAAGTAAAAGAACAGGTTCTAAAGATTGACTCCTGGTTCCACTGTTTACAAGATGTGTGTTTGGGAAAGATTCATTCACTTTAAACTTAGTTGGGTATGCAGGTGTGTACGGCCCTATGGGGAGTTTCTTATTACCAGTGGACCAAAGAAGAAAAAATTCAAATCTGGTTCTGCAAAATAGGTTGGCCATAACTGAAAGTGGAGGGCTTTAGCAATACAGTTTAATTCTAAGTTGACACTGAAGAAGATGGGAGATCTTCATGGTGGGCAATCTTTTAAGTAGAATACACAGTTGCTCATGTTACTTGGAAGGAAAAATTACCAGAGATACAATTGTATACCAGTCATGGGGACCAGCTAATGGCATGACAAGCTCTTCAAGGAATTACAAGGAACACTACTGGAAAATTGGTGACACCAAGTTTGGGAACAGATTATGTGAACACACTTCTATAAATAGGCAGAGTGGGAAGACAGTCAGGTCCCATACAGATATACATAAGAGAATAGTCAGCAGAGTATTATCTTAATAATCAGGTAGACAAGATGACCCATTCTTACGGCTATCACTCTCTTTCTCAGCCACCCTATGCCTTCTCAATCCCTCAAAGTGATCACGACAGCAGTGATGATTATGTATGGGCTCACAAAATGGACTTGCACCCGTCAAGACTAATCTGGCTATAGATATTGCTGAGTGCACCCAATCTACCAATGGACAGGCCACCAATGCACCTATATTTAGGACCATTCCCCTTGGACCACTTCAATCATGGAAAGGGCAGTGGTTTGCTCTTATTTGAACAGACACTTAACTAATGATGTAGATCTACCTTCTGTCCCTGAAACTTTTCTCTGAATACCATCATTCATGAACTTGCTAAATGCCTTATTTAGTATCTTGGTACACAACAAAGCACTGATCCTGATCAAGAAACTTACTTTATAGCAAATGAAATACTTTAATGGATTCATGCTTATGGAATTCACTTATCATGTTTCCCATCACTGATAGAATGGTGCAATAACCTTTTAAAAGTGTTAGTTATGACAGCAGCTGGATAACACTACCTTGCCAGGCTGAGGTAATGTCTTCCATGCTCTAGATGTCCAACAAACACATAGTGCTATTTTCCAGAGCTGGGAATTTCAGGTCTGGGAATCAACAAGTAGAGATGACAGTGGGTGGGTCCTATCACAATTACCTCTGGTAATCCACTAGAGAATTATTCATTTCTATAACTTTGGGTTTTGCTGGTCTAGAGGTCTTAGGCTTTTACTGGGGATCGCATAAATGACTCTAGTAAACTGGAAGTTGACAGTGACACCCTGCCATGGTTTATAAAGGGATTTCATGTACTTTTTTAGGGACAGGACTAGTATATTAGTCTCGTGAAGGAAAGTTATGTTAGGTAAAAGCATATTTTTGTTATTGTCTTTATTTGAAGTACAAAAAAGGAAGATGTGCACTTATGTTAAATTGGCAAGTGGTGGAATACTGTGGCTTTCTAAGTGTCAATTTAGCTAGGATTCAACTACCTTTTCCAGAATTCCTTCCCTCTGTGGTTTCAGCTTAGGGTCAACCACCAGATAGATTTGCATATAGGGATGGTGGGCATAAAATGGAAACCATTTTGTACTTGGAAGGCTAGCATAAATCACTGGGCACTGTGCAGCTTGCATATGCCGTTTTTGACCTTATGGCTTGTTTTATTGATAAGGAACAACACCTGGACCTATAGCTCTTTAAACTTCTACCAGTTCTTTAGGTTTTTTGAGTACTGGGTCAGGTGAATGAGAAGTTTCACAGTGAACGGCACCAACTTCTCCCGTAAGTCATCCACATCATCTTAGTTACAGACAGTGACAAACAGACAGAGGTTCTAGTTTATAGCCATGATCCCAGTGCATTCTTCCCAATTCCAGCTTGTTTTTACTCTCTCCTACTTCAGATCCAGCTTTCTTCCTCTACTGAGAACTTACTCAGTACCAGATGGCAAGGCAACAGCCTTGTAAAAACCCCTCCACTGGCTCTCACCATTGCATAAGTTCTAATTTCCATAATTATTCAGATATTTTGTATTATATGGCTTTGCCTCTCTGATTAAACCCTGAAAGATAAAATAGTAAGGAGAATTTATTTAAAAACTTAAAAGATGAGCAAGACAAATAACTAGAGAAAAACAGAAAAGCACACACACACACACACACACACACACAGGCTAACACAGGATGTTGGACCTCATCAGTAATTAGGTTTAAGAAATATAGATTAAAACATGAGCTACTATTTCATACCTATACCAAAGCAGCAAATATTACAATGTATGAAAACTCTTAAGAGTGAGTTTGGATGTGGAAAAAAGGAAATTGTAGACACTACTGGTGAGACTGTAAACTATTTAACCACTCTGGGAAATAATCCAGCAACACAGATAAAGCTGAAAATGAGCATTCCCTAAGAACTACCCATTCTATACCTAGGAACGACCCTAAGGAACTCACATAGTAAAATTGGGAAGGAACACAAAATGTCCTTTGTCTACAGAATAACAGTATTATTATATATTTGACATTGAGATACATTTATTTTGAGGTTAGTCATCCAGGAGGATGTAGTCTCCAGTGTCAACTGTGATAGGTATTCCCTAATGACTACCTTGAGGTAATCATGCCCCTGCATAATCCCTTCCCCTTTTTTATAGCCTTGATTTAGTGTCTCACTTCTAGTGAACAAAATATTGTAGAGGTGATGGAATGTCACTTGCTAGATTAGGTTACAAAAGACCTTGGCTTCTGTATCTTTCATTCTGTTACATTGTGAGCTGCTCTAGAGAGAAAACTACACAAAAGGAACTGATGTCTCCAGGCAATATTTAGTGAGGTCCTAAGGCCAGTAACAGCCATATGTGTTTGGATATAGATCCTATCCTAGTTATACTTGAAATGATTATTGTTCTGACACTCAGATTTTAAGAGAGAGAGATCCTGAGCCAGAGATATGCAACTAAGATGCACTGAGATTCCTGACCCACAGAAACTGTGAGATAATAAATGATAACTGTTGTAAGTCACTGATTTTTAGGGTAATTTATAAAATAGCAATAGATAACCAATGTACTCTCCAATAATCATTGCAAAGCCACAGTGGTAAACAAATTCATTATTGGTAGACTAATATTAATTCAACCAATAATTACTGAAGGTCTAATCTATCAAGCCCTGTTATAGGGATAAAGTCATGAAAAATCCTGCTTCTACACTATGCTTTTATGGAGCTTTGCACACAGACAATAAACAAAATATATCTTATGTCAGATGATGATAATTTCTATGGAAAAAATAAAGCAAGGAAATAGAACACACAAAGCCCGAACTAAGGAGGGGCTGAAATTTTTAAAAAAGGTAGTCAGAGGCCTCCCCTGAAAATATGACATAAGAATGAAACCTTGAAAACTATGATGAAATGAATCATACAAGATCTCAATGAAATACACTGCAAGCAGAGAAAAGAGCAAATGGAAGTGTCCTGATGGAAGAGTAAAACTGACCAGCGCAGCATCTAGGGGCCTGTGTACCTTTCTAAGGACTTTGGCTTTAGCTCTGAGTGGAATGCAGTCACTGGGTTTTGAAAAGAGGAGTGATATCATGAATTTTTTAAAATTATCATTCAGGGGGTGCCTAGGTAGCTAAGCTTGTTAAGTATTTGCCTTCAGCTCAGATCATGATCCCAGGGTACTGGGATGGAGCCCTGCATCAGGCTCTCAGCGGGGAGCCAGCTTCTCCCTCTCCCTCTGCCATTCTCCCAGTTTGTGCTCTCTGGCTCTGTCAAATAAATAAACAAAATTTAAAAAAATAAAATGAGCATTCTGGCTTCTGTGTTAAAAAAAAAGTTGTGTATGGTGGGGTAGAGGATGCAGGTTTGGGGGGACATTATGTGATGAAGCAAGGAGACTGGTGAGAAAGTTTTTATAGTAACCCCAGTGAGAGTATGGTGATTCAGATCATGGTGGGAAAGATAAAAGGATGTGAAAAATAGATCATGAATTTTTTTTATCATGAATATATTTTAAGGAAAGATTCAACAGAATCTGCCAAACAATTAAATTAATTTGTAAGGTACATATGTGTGTATTCCCACTAAGGGATACCTAATGTAAATCACTAAGCCAGAAAAACACATGCATTATTAACTCTACTTTCAAATATTTATTATTCATAATCTATAACCTATACCCACTGCTACTGTCTTGCTTCTAGGCACTATAATGAGTATTTTCAACAACTTTTTAAAGGTTTCAAATGTATTTTATTTCTTCAATTATGCTATATTTTAATGAGCAGCAGAGTGCTTAAGTGACAAGTTGATTTTGAAACAATTTTGTATTACAGTAACTTTGATGGTTACTCATCATTCCATTCTTTTGGGGTGACTCTTCTCACTGGAGACAGGTTCCACTCTATTCCAATCTGTGTGGCCGTGAACACCCATGCAACAACACAGAAAGCAGTCCCACTGGCTAATACAGTGTTACCGTATCTATCATGGAAATCTTGAGAATGATTTTTGTTACTCTGTCTTGACCTAAGTTGTTGAATGCTTCGAATCTTGAACTGATTTAGTGCGTTTCTGGTCAAGGGAAACATGATGAAGGTGTGACAGGACTGCCGCTGATTACAGCTGTTGGTCTATTTCCTTGCAAAGAGACCTGGAAAAACAAAAGATAAGCAATGACATCTGATCTACATTCAGTTTCTCCCTTTGAATGTTTCACTCACACCACTCCTTAGAGTGTGACCCGTCATATAACTTTGATACCATAATGCCCGGATTTGAGTCTCAGCTCTGCTACTGATTAGCTGTGTGAAATCGGGCAGTTACTTAACCTCTCTTTGCCTTAGACTCTTCAATGGCAAACTGAGACAATAATCCCCAGCTCCAAAGAATGCTTGTGTAACAGTACAAGAGCGGGTCTTTCGGGTTCATTTGCTTCAAGTTACCACACTTGTAACTTGCAGATCTAAGATCCATGATCTGTAACAGAACTATTTGCTTTCTTTGAGATTTGCAGACCACTGGCCTTGAGGAGTGAAGGACTAGAACTTTCCTAGGTCACAGAAGCCAGCAAGTCTGTTTGAAACCATCTCAGCTTTCTGATTAGTCTGGCAGTTCTTTAGCAAAAAAAATTTATTTTCTTTTTTAGTCACACAGATTACTTTATGGACCTCCCTTTGTGCATCTATAGACCGTGCCTTTCTTTTCAGAGAGAACAGAGCACTCCAGCGCATCCCGAAACAAGAACCAGACCCTCGCACAACAGCCTCTCATGAGATAACTTTTGTAGTTGGCATCATTGAGTTTGCATGAATCAAGAAACACTGAAGGCCTCTGCATTCCCTCTACTGACTAACCACCCTAAGCTTCTTTAAAAACCCTTGGGCCAGGCAGAAACCTCGGAGTTGGCTTCTGAACAAGGGTCCACCTACTCCTCAGGTTCCAAGCTTTCTGAATAAAGTTCAAAATTTTTTCCAATAAAAACCTGTCTCTTGAGTGATGAACTTTCAGGTGAAGGGCAGCTGTATTTGAATTCAGTAACATGAGGATTCCATGTGATAACCCCTAACAATGACAAGAGTAAGCACACAGTAAGTGTTATCTTTTCTGTTCTTCTAAATGGCTTGCCGGCCAATGGCTTGCTCCCTAGACTCTAATCAGCATGACTGACAGAATGAAAATTCGCAACATGTCCCACAAGTCCAATTTGACCTGTGACTACTATAAACTCAGGTTTCCGTATGAATTATTAGGCATTCACAGAGTATGTCACACTTTCTCCTGCTGCTCCTTCCCCCCCCCTCTTTTAACCCCTTTGCTCACCCCTCCCCTTCTCCTTCCTTACCTATAATTCCTGCCTTGTACCTTTCTACAGGTAAAATTCTATTTGTCTTTTAAATCCCAGTCCAAAGGTTACCACTTCTGTGAAATCTCCAAATCTCCCTAGGTTGAATAAAGCCCCTCTTCTCTGGGCTACTATTCCTCTTATAACCCTTGTTTCATAACATTTAACATGATGTACTGGCTTTATCATTTTAAAAAAAAGACTTTATTTTTTTCTTAGAACAGTTTTAGGTTCACTGCAAAAGTGAGTGGAAAACAGAGAACCCATATACATGCTGACCCCACACACGCATAGCTTGACCCTCCCGTAACAGGCTAATAAATTTGTTACATTTCTTAAAATTAATGAACCTACATAAGAGTCCTTTATCAGATAGGTCTTTTGCAAATCTTTTCTCCCAGCCTGTGGCTTGTCTTATCATTTTCTTGAGAGATTATATTCTACTCCAATAGACTCTAAGGTCTCTAAGAGCAAGGGATGTAACCTTGCATACACAATAGTTGACACAAAAGCATAGAAAGAACTGTTTTTTTTTTTAAAGATTTCATTTATTTGACAGACAGAGATCACAAGTAGGCAGAGAGGCAGGCAGAGAGAGGAGGAAGCAGGCTCCCTGCTGAACAGAGAGCCCAATGTGGGGCTTGATCCCAGGACCCTGGGATCATGACCTGAGCCGAAGGCAGAGGCTTTACCCAATGAGCCACCCAGGTGCCCCGGGTTGTTTTTTGTTTTTGTTTTTAAAGCAATCTGACATGTAAGTGAATACTGGTAACCTTAAAGAAGTTAAATGAACACTGACGTCAAGTAAAAAAAATCATGAAATCAAATGTATATGTCCTAACAGCCCTAATAATTTTATATTTTAAACATACGGTTATACTGAACAAGAGATCTGGAAGCAGAAACACATGGAGTTCTGTCAATTTCTCTTCTTTGTGCAAGCTGTCAAACAATGCTCAGTTTCTAACAATGACATATGTTAACTGTGGTCCAAATGCAGGCAACATGGATACAAAAATGCCTGAGGTCAGTACTTGTAAACTTATAACTGTTCACTGAAATTTGCCAACTCAAATGACTTTATTCCCAACTTAGAAAACAAGACCCTAAGGTTCTCTTTTATTTCCGACCAGATGGTAGAGTGGTACTCTTCATGATTGTGATGAAGGGGACAAAAAACAGAACCAAATGCCTTTCTTCTGAGGTTCCAAATAGTTTTTTTTTTGTTTTGTTTTGTTTTGTTTTTTTTGTTTTCCTGTTAGTCAAGAATCTCTCCACCAAAATGCACTAAGGTTTTAATTTGAATTGAATTCAGAAAGTAGGCTGAATGTGAAAGGGTCAAGGTATGACAGGTGCAATTTTAATTCAATTCCAAAACACTTGTGGCACATAGGATGGCATAAAACCAGAGAATAATTGTGATAACAGGAATTTCTTGTGGGTCACTGATGCATGCCTGCTACTTTACATCAAACTGATTTCATTATTCCTATCCTCAAGATGTTAAGTTGAAAGTCAGATACTTTGTCTCTATGGACACTGATCACATTGCTTTGTAGGTTGGTTCATCTTTTGGTTATCCCCATATCTGTGAAGCTTTTTTCTTCCACATACCATGAATTTTCTTGTAGCAGTAAGTATCCTTTATTAAGAATTTTCTTTTAGGAACTCCTATAGTTTGTAGCTTGCATTTCATCCCATAATAAAGAAAATGCAGTCTTTCACAATTTTTGTGTTTCCTTGTTAGCATCAGATACATCTGTCCCAGCTGCTTTCATATCTACATTATATCTATTCTGTTTATAAAACACAAGAGCTGGGAATCCATGAGTTAGAGAAATTTTCCATACTGTTCAATTCCATATAACTTACTTTTATGATACATTTAATATTATTGATAAAGCTAAGCCTATTACTTGAAGAACTGAAGCAATAGGCTCTAATATCCATATGAAAGCATAAAAATTCAATAATACAATGCAGATAAATTATTTCTCAAAGTAGATGCTTTCTGATGAAAACAGACCACAAAGAGATGGAAGAAGACAGATTTCTCAAGGTAATAAGAACAAAGTAGAGGTTCTCTCATGCCTGAGGCAATAAGAGAAAGGAAATATGTTCTGAATAAATACAAATAGTTAAAGAGAGTAAAGTATCTTGTGAGGATGAAAAGGAAAAATTGATTGTGTCATCTACTTTATATAGCAGTGTTGAAACTCAGTTTAGGAAAATAACTAATACTAGGCTTCAATCTAAGTGCAATAAGGAGGTATATATATTTGAAACTTAATGGCTAACAAAAATAATTTCAAATCACTAAAGGCCATAAAAAGAAATAACAGTAATATATTAATTAGTGAAGAAACTAATATCAAATGAATATATGCCTATTTGCCAAACACTGTGCCAGAATTTTGCACATTTGCAAAAACAATGTGTACAATGGTGATTATTTATCTTCATTCTGTACATAAGAATAAATGGCAGGCAAGATGTGAATTCCAGTCCCATCATTTACAAATCTAGTACATTTTTCAACTATCATTTTTCTATCACTTTTCAAAGTATATTCAATTCTGAATATTGGAAATAAAAAAATCCAAAAAACCAATACGGTTACCAGAGCTGGTTTACTAAAATATTTACTGAGTGACTATTGGTGTGTGAGGGTCTGGGCTGGGTGCCAGTGGTACCATGCCTTCTCTCAAGAAGCTTATGGTAGAGTGAGGGAATGAACAAAGCCACTGTTACAGAGGAGGAGACCGGTTAGAGATGAACACAGGGTGCCCTTGGTCCACAGGAGGAGTTACATTATCAACTTGGAGTTCTAGAAATGGCTATAGAGGAAATGACATCTAGGCTAGATTTTGAAGGATGATTAAGATATAAAAAACAAACCTGGGAGTGCAGACTGTAGAGGAAGTAGCAAAAGTGAAAGGCACAGAGAGCTGAAAGAGTACGCAGGCAGGGCAACTGGTGAGCTCAGTCACACTAAGTAGTAAGTGAAGACGTGAAGGCCCACAGATGAGCCTGGAGGGATGAGGAAAGAACAGCAGCACAGTGAGGACTTTGCATGCCTAACTATGGAATTTAGACTCAATTCTATAAATCAAATTTTCTCACTAATGAGAAAAGAGGACTCAAACTCACAGCCTTTTTCTTGAGCTGATAATGAGAATTCTTAGTTCTGTGTTTTTACTTTCACAATTTATTTTTTACCTTTTTCAATTAGCATATAATGTATTATTTGTTTCAGGGGTACAGGTCTGTGAATCATCAGTCTTACACAATTCACAGCACTCGCCATAGCACAAATCCTCCCCAATGTCCATCACCCTGCCACACTATCCCTCCCTATCCCCTCCAGTTTATTTTCACAATTTAAAGATATATAAGGTAACAGGGCACCTGGGTGGCTCAGTCGTTAAGCACCTGCCTTCGGCCCAGGTCATGATCCCAGAGTCCTGGGATTGAGCCCCACATAGGGCTCCCTGCTCAGCAGGGAGTCTGCTTCTCCCTCTCCCTTCATCCCTGCTCATGCTTTCTCTCTCTCTCTCTCTCTCTCAAATAAATAAATAAAATCTATTAAAAAAAAGAAAAAAGAAATTTAAGATAACAATATGAGACCTAGATGATGTAGCTTATCAATTACTGGTGCCTGCATTTGTCTTTGTTCTGTATTTTTTTTTTTTTTTGCTTGTACTGGTGTACAACATTTATCTATCTTGGACTAATGGGAAAAGAATGGAGGCAGCTTTCATATATAAGTAATGTGTTCATGCCAGGGACAAAACGA